TGCACAGCCTGGAACATAACATTTATTTCGGCACCTTTAATTAAAAAAAAAAAGGTAAATAAAAAAAAAGATTTATTCTGAATTATTTATTTTTATCGATCATTGATGACATTTTGTTTTATTCAAGGGACATAATCTGATAAATGTGGCAAACGCAGCACTGCTCAAAATCATCCATATTTGCAATGCACAGTCCGGATCTTGTATTTATAGCCTTTATACTCACAGATCATTGATGACATTTAGTTTAAATTCAAGGGACATAATCTGACAATCTGATAAATGTGGCAAACGCAGCACTGCTCAAAATCATCCATATTTGCAATGCACAGTCAGGATCTTGTATTTATAGCCTTTGTACTCACAGGAGCTCATTGTAGATGCTAGTGCACTCACTTCCTCTAGGAATACTGCTATATCTGAATAATGATCTTCAGTCTATTGCACGTGATCCAGCCGCTGTATTTCCCATGACTTATGCCAAAAATCCCAGCTGCAAATATTTCATGATTAATAATTTAAGAAATTAAAGGGCCATCTCACGGAAAACATAATTTCCCTTGTTCTTCTGAAATAAATGTGTTATGTTAGCATAATCTTGTTTCGTGATGGCAAAATGCAAAGTGAAGGAATGTCTTTAACAATTTAGGCAGTTTAGACTGTTCTCCTAAAACAGATCTGTGACACAAAGCAAATTCATGTCGTCATGTAAAAACAAGGCGCTAGAGATTATTCTTGGATCTAGGTAAAGCAAAACTCTAGTTGAAGTGAAGTGACATGTGGCCAAGTATGGTGACCCATACTCTGAATTAGTGCTCTGCATTTGTCCCATCCAAAGTGCACACACACAGCAGTAAACACACACCCGGAGCAGTGGGCAGCAGTGGTCAGCGCCCGGGGAGCAGTTGGGGGTTCGGTGCCTTGCTCAAGGGCACCTCAGTCGTGGTATTGAAGGTGGGAGAGAGCGCTGTACATTCACTCCCCCCACCTACAATCCCTGCCGGTACGAGACTCGAACCCGCAACCTTTGGGTTACGAGTCCGACTCTCTAACCATTAGGCCACGACTTCCCGCTAGTTTGTGTTAGTTAGTTGGAGCTAACCAACGGAGATGCTGTGTAGTTCAGGCATGAACTCACCTTGGGTTGAAAAGGAAAGTAAATGCAGCACAACTAATTGCAGAATAGCTTGTGTGAGTCAGTCATCTTATGGATTCCTGAAAAGTCAGCATGTTATGGCTCAAGGGACTCGCTTACTTGAAACCGTGCAACAGCTTCCTTTCAAAAATACACCTACTGCAGCAGTCTACAGATAAAACGGTAATTAAAGTTATATTTTTATGTGTCAAAATTCCTGTAGAAATTACACTCTTACAGGGAAATTTCACATTTAGCATATTTAGCATAAAAATTAAGTCTATTTTAGGATCAAATATTTTTTTTCTTGCATTGTGACATTCATGACAATTAAAGCCATTTTTCCACAAATGACCATAATGCGTCCAGATTTTACTTCTAAGTTCCCATTATTCCCATTATTAGATTCTCATTCATGTATTACAGTAAAGGAATACAATAATGCATATATTTTTTTATGAATTGCAGTTTAAATTTTGCAGTATGAAGTATTACTTTGTGTAAATATTATTAACATATTATTTCAAATATTACAAATACAATAATGACAATGTTATACATGGTTTCTGCAGGTTTTATGAAGGTAAATTTAAGATTTTTTCAAAGATCCTTTTAAGACCAAGTAAAGAAAGTTTAAGGAATAATTTGAAGGGAACACAATGTCAATATGTTCTCTAAATGTCGATGTCAATATCAAAAGCTTAAGGCTGGAATAACTCTGCTCCCAAACACTTGAATATGGAAATAACTGCAAAAAAAAAAAAAAGTTCTTTATCAGTATTTTTGTATTGTTTTCCAGTGTAAATGTCTAAACATTCTTAAAATCAAGATACATTTTCTGTAGATGCAAAAGTGACATATGAAGTCTTGTTTTATGAGAAATTGATAAAAATGGAGTTTATGAATAAAACAAGAACTTATACCTACTTAATTCGACTGACAGGTCTGTTCTTGTTTTAAGCATAAACTTAATTTCGTTCAGTTTCTCAGAAAACAAATTCATATCTTTCCTTCGAAAGTAAATGTATCTTGATTTAAGGTTGTGTATATTTGAATTGGAAAACAAACAAAAATACTGAGGAAGATATTCATTTTTTTTTTTTTTTGCAGTGCATGCAACATTTAATGCTGTGACTTTATGAATTTAAGGCTTTCTGCTCTGATTTAAAGACTTTTAAGACCCGCAGAAACCCTGCTATAGTGAAAATGTGATAGAAATCACAATGAAAAATCCACAATCACAGTCCTAAAAATAGGTTTGATCTTATTCATGCTATACATATTATTTCTTCATTTTGATTTGGGGATGAAATATGACGTACTTGTAATATGTATTTGTACGTTTTGTAAGATCTGCCCTGTAATCCACATCCTCTAAGCTGAAGTCTGCATGTTGTATTCTTTACGGATTTGGATTGTGATTAGATATCTAAAACTGTAAACTGTTAACTGGGTGAAACTGGTCTGATATCCATCCCACACTCCTCACTAGTTTATGTTCTATCTATAAAAAAATAATGAGGACCTGAACCTTGGACCATTTTTATAAGGTGTATCTTTATATAAATGATTCAGCTTACTACAGCTAGCACATAAAGTGCATTCTAGTAGCCCACAGCCTGAGAAGTAAAAAATATACCCTATCTTAAGCAGATAACTGCCATTTAAATATCACACACTCATCAGATGTGGGCACACCATGCTGTGTTTTTCTGTCAATATGGGGTGCTGTGTGTACATTGAGGAAAAAAAATTAACTTAAATGATTTTAGCAAATGGCTGCAATATAACAAAGAGTGAAAAATTTAAGGGGGTCTGAATACTTTCCGTACCCACTGTATCTACAGCCATAAAGATTTTATGCAATCCATTATGCATAAAGAGTTAATTTATTCATGAGGGCAAAATGTGATTGTCCTTTGCCTTTGGATTCCTTTTCATAGCTATCAGTGCACCCTGTGAATAGACCACTGTTTTGTGCCTGGAATATAAATAGACTGTGTGTGTTGATGTGTGCAAGTCTGTGTCTCCATATATACCATACTATGTGCTATAAAAAAAATCAGGGCCCCTTTTAGCCTCTAAAACTGGCTAACGAAAACACTTCTGGGCAGGAGCTCTACATTTACATTCCTGGCCATTTATACTAAACAATGGAGTTGGCATCTGTTCCCATGCACTCTGCAATAAGTGCAAGCTACGGGTATCCAAAAGTCATCTATTTTTAACACTATTGTGCTTATTAACACTATATCTTCATAGTGACCCATATCCTGCACTATATGATGAGGATATACTGCAGGCTAGTTAAAAGGACAAGCGTAGCGACTTTCATAAACACAGGAATTATTTCCATCACCATTAAAAATATTCATTCTGAAATATGTAATTATGTGGCCATGAGGAAGTATTTTATTTTTTATCATGTAAAATTGATTTAGTTTTATTAAACATGTTGTCACTCAAAAATGTAGGTTGACCATGCATTTGCATACTGTACAAAATTCAAATTAATTAAAAATCAGAAAAAAAAGCAAGCTACATAAGCAGCTCAAATTCATGCAGCTGCCCTTAGATTTGTTTTTTGTTTTTGTTTTTTGGATTGTATTTTATCCTTTAGGAATTAGATTTTGAAAAGTGGGCATTCAAAACCACAACTGAAATAATTGTGCAGATGAATCATTACATACAGGAACAGTATTAATATACACTACTGTTCAAAAGTTTGGGGTCGGTAAGATTTCTATAATGTTATTGAATGAAGTCTCTTATGCTCACCAATGCTATTCTAATATTTTAAAATGTAAAATATGTTAATTTGAATGAATTTTCAGCATCATTACTCCAGTCTTCAGTGTCACATGATCCTTCAGAAATCATTCTAATATGCTGATTTAGTGCTGTAGAAAATTTCATATCATTGATGAAAACAGCTGTGCTGCTAAATATTTTTGTGGAAAATGTAATACATTTGAATAGTTCAAAAGAACATAATTTATTTGAAATATAAATATTTTGGCCACGTACACACTGTAAAGTTTCAGGAGTGACAACCGCATTTAAATACGGGAGTGAATTCCCTAAATTACAGTTTTGTGTGTGTACGGAACAGAATTCACTTTTGAAATGGCTATGACTGATACCATGGTAACCATAGCAACGTTTTGGCATCTTCAGTGGTTGGTATCTGCTATTTTTGGAAATATTACAGTGACCAAAGACTCATTATGTTCGGCGATATTAATTAAACCATCGTCGACAGAGCCGTCATGTTGTGTTTACGTTTGGAAGGTTGCTTGGCAGAGCACACTCTTGAAGGGTTGCCATGTCCACTTATTATAAGCAACACTATTTAAGCATCTGCGGGTTTGTTGTTTGGGCTTGGCTTATACAATCTAGTTTATGGAGTTAATAAAGAATGCAGGTGCAGGTCGCGATATTTTGGTATGTGGCAAATTTCCAAGATAACGCATTTGGATTTAAGTTTTTTACGGCCTTGTTCTTATTTGCGAGATCTGGCAACACTAATGAGTCAAATTGCACCTGGTTCACTGTGATTTCTTGCACCACGCATGCAGAAAAGAGACACAACACTTATACGCATTTAAATACATCATTAACAACAGTTCGGTTCAATACACACAGAATTTCTGCAAATGCGTTTGTCACTCCTGTAAATTACTGAAGTGTGTGTACAGAACAGGAAAAGGTGAACTGACAACCAATTTTTAGCTGCAGTGTGTACATGGCCTTTGTAAAATTTTTTGTAACTTCTGAATGGTAGCGTAAATAGGGTCAAATTGTATTTTTAGATCCAACCACACTGAAATGGATCACAACATCAAACAGTGAAACGTGTACTCACAAGTGGTTGGCTTGTTGCAGTTGTGTCCATGTCGAAAGTACTGCGGGTTCTCGATGACAGGAATGCGACTCATGCCGATTACGACGGCGTCCGGTCCCGCGTCGAGAGAGCAGTGTGTGACGATACCATGGTTGACATGATGAAGAGGGCTTGCAGAGTCTTCCTCACCGCTGATGACTGCCACTGGGCCTGCAGAGCAAGCACAAAGTAATGATAAACGTACAACCAGAGTGAATGTTATTTAGAAGCATTGAAAAAAACAAAGATGTTCTACCACAACATGGCTTTGATCCAAATTTAAATGCTGATTACTATCTTTGTAAAGAGCCAAAGGAGACATTATACTTTAAACACCAGCTAAACAGGATGACTTAACAACCATCGGCTCATTTCACAACATAAAACCTTCACAAGACTACAAAGACGACAAAAATGCTTTCATCAAGTTTACTTATTTATTCATTGTGAAATTGACAGTGGTTTAAAATCATCCAAATTTGCCACCTGAGGGAGAGCCATAGAGCTGAATTGGAGAATTGGGAAGGAAGGGTGGTGTTACCGCTGTTAAACATATCATTTTCAACAAGCCCACCTCAAAACAGGACTCTTCAAAACAGTCGTTTGTTCACAAGCACACTCAGGGGACCGGTTTAAACATGGCCAACCAAGCAAATCATCAACACAGAGGGACTGAAGTACTGAATGTTGTTTTTTTGTCTCCTCAAATGTCTAAAACCTGTTTGTAATAGTTCAGACCTGAACAGATATCTGTAAACCCACCTAATGAGCATCTTTGGTTTTGAGACTTTAGTGTTTGCAACTTTACAGATCTTCTTTATGCACCAAGAGCTTGTAACACTCCAAAGAGAAAGGAAAAATTTAAATAGCATCATATGACCCCTTTAATGCTTGATGTGAAATTCTGTTATCCTAATGTGAAAATGAATCCCATTTGTCTGAATACCCAGATTTTCTAATGAAAATCTCTAGCTCTGTTTCAAAACCTAGTGAGCTGCCTTACTGTCTACAGAGTGCTGCAGGAATGAGTCCTAAAATTTCTGGTTCCATCATCCTGATGTCAGTGGGTTTTTCGAATAGGTTTTTGGTTAGATGTCTGAAATAAGCTCATGGTATTTTCATGTTTTATTCTACAACATGAATATATCAGTAATACCCAACTCGTGACTTACGCTTTTACGTTGCTTAAAAATGAAATTGAACTACAGAGCTTGTTGGGGACTATAAATGTCATCACGGTGAACAGGTAAATTCATATAACTCTGATCTTACAGCCTTGCTATGTTTATAATTGAGCTCTAGCAAACTATTTCAACTCAAACTTTATAACTTTTTTTAAATTCAGATTGAAAGACTTTGAAAGAGCTTGGTGGTGGTGACACTGAAGTCATTTATCTGTAGTATTTAGGCTTCAAAATTCATGAAAGTTGTGTTAATTTGTGAAGATTATCTTGTTGAACAAAATGTGTAAGTATCATACACTATATAAAAAAATAAATAAATAAATAAAAAAATTAAGGTAAAATACAAGCAGCTGTGGTTGCAAGAAATGTACAATAAAAATATTGTAGCAACATTGTATGTTTTACAGATTTAACTAAAATTCACTGTAAAAAAAGGTATTTCATTAACTGATATACTGAAGTATTAATATCTGTTTTGTACACTGACAACCACCAAAAACAGGTGGTGATGAGAAAGTCACATGATGAATCAAAGCTCATCACAAGCAGCTTTTCCACAAGCTGAGGTAAATACTAATATATAAAAGGTGCACAGTGTCATTCACACAGATACTAAACACCATTATGGTAACATGCAGGACACTATAATAATGCATTAAACAATAATTAACAAGATTAGATGTAAGATAAAAAAAACCTAATGTACATAAGTTATAAGAAAAACTAAGCAGCATAGTTGAAGTGTCACACAGGGAATTCTGAGAGTGTCAATTTATAGTTTTCCCACTGTAAATTACACAATAAATGGTTCTTTTTCACTTTCAAAAACTGTAAATTTAACAGTATTTTACTGTATAATTACATTAAATATAAGGTTAGATCTATTACAGTTATATAGGTTTTTACCATTAAACCATACCATTTTTACAGTCTTTTACCTTGAAAATCATGATCATTTTTTACAGTGTACACCTTTACATTTTTTTTTATTATTATTTATTTAATAATCCAAAAACAAATAGAAAAATCCTATTGGGTTTTGTTAAAGGAAATCAGTGTGAAGCTTCTGGTTTGTCATCCTTGCAGCCCTTTATCTACACACACACACACACACACACAAGAAATATTGGGTAAAATATTCACTTTTTAATAAGATTAAATATATATTTATATTCCACATTTATGTCCACAAGCCATCTTGGACTATTTTAAATTAGCTAGTCAAGATCCATTTTGGTTTTGCCCTCTCAGTGAAGGATACACATCATGCAAATTGGCCAAATGAGGAGATCTTAAAAGACCGCTTAAGTCTTTGTGCCCCATGATGCTTTCAAATGCTGTCTAGGTAGGCAGCTCACTAGGTGAGGTTGTCACATCCTGTGAATTTCAAAGGCTATAACATCAGAAATAATAGTTTTTCATCAAATCAATAAATCTCACCAACTCTTGTGCCAGTAGCAGTTGAAGAGACCTGAAATGTTTTTTTTTTTCCTCACCTTGACTGTCTCAGGGTTATGGAGCATTGCCCAGACTTGCTAGGTGTAACCCCCGCAAATACAACCCTAGGTGCAAGGTGTGTGAAGTCTTGCCATAACAGCAGATCCGCAGACAAGACGCAAACACCAGACTGAAAGTGACGTGCACAAGTGACATGGCTTGTTTATTTGTATTGCGTGTTGAATTTATTAGGCTTTGAATAAGGCATAAGGTTTTAGCTGTAGCCATGTATTTAAATTGCATGTTTGACCACAACAGTAATGTGTATTCTGGATAAGAGCATCTACTAAAGGTCTCAAATGTGAATGTACATGAATGTCAGATAGAAGAAGTTTTGCAATCTTCTGCAATTATCTGAACTGGTGAAGCCTCTGCTCAGTAGCTCATGTGGTGACAGAACACGTAGGTAGAAGTAAACACACCTCATGTACAGAACCACGTCTTTTGAGTTTGACATTTAGGGTCCTAGTGAGAAATGATGCTTGTTGGCACAAAGTAAATCTGAGAGTTCGATATTAAACATTTGAGTGTAAGTCTTGGTGTTCCCAGTCAAATCTCACTCTGAGGGAGTGTCTGAATATCGGCCGTTATTGATGATCCTTCACGAAGTAGGCTATAGGAAATTTATGACTCCTCCATTGGGCCGATCATTTATTTTGTTTATGATTGTATAAAAAGCTTTGGGAGAAAAGCAGGAGAATATTTTATTCTACAAGAATGCTAAACCTACCATATGCATCATACAAGTTTAGTTTGTCTTTAGCCACTGATGTTAATGGGCTGTATCTCACGAAAATCCAAGGTAATTTTACCCTGAAAAATAAATAGGTAAATGTATTTAAATATTTATTTATTATTGCATTAAGAGAGGCATATTTTAAGAGCATTTAAGATTTTAATGACATTATTTTCATAACAAATTAGCACATTTACCCTCAACATATTAAATAAATCTGGATCAAAACTCATTACAATCATTCTAAGTGGTAATTCTGATTTGATTCTCATTACTACTCAGCATAAAATTAGCATAAATTAAAACAGATATAACAAATACCATGAATACTACATACTGTACAATATTGAGTTGTTGTTTTTTTTAGAGTAATGATTGAATATTAATGGGAATATGCAATTAAATATTATAGAAATGGAAAAAATGTGCTCAATTGTCATAAAAATGAAAAAAGAAGAAGAAGAAAAAATGCTTAATTTTATCAAGCAAATTATACTTTATCTCTTTCTTTGATTTTGGTGTTAAATATGAACCGGACATGTTTGTAACAGTTAGATACCTATATGTATCAAAATGGAATTAATCATTTGTTATGCAAAAAAAAAAAAGTAATGTAAAATGTAAAAAATGTGTTTGTCGTTGTACAACCACATCAGTTCGCAAACAATATGTCAATATGTTACAAGGGTAAATAAAAATAATCAAACTCAATAGTCGAGAACATTCTGCAACTGTATTGAACAGACTAAAAACAGAAACGTAGTGGGCATGTGACTAACTTAACATGGAAAAACTACAACTCGTGTAATTCATAATGTTACCAAGGCTTCATGAACATTAGAAAAGCTAAGCAAGCACTATACAATCATTGGCGCAGCTTGATTCCTAGTCTACAGTAGCACACATTCTCCTGAACAGAACTGCAATGAAAAAATAAAGAGCTGCTTTCATCAGTCAGACTCCAACCATTTAAACCGAGGGAGGTGTGATCAAAATTGATAAGGTTGCATCATCCTGGGCAGTAGGTGGTGGACCACGATTGAGCAGGGGCCATTAAATATTTACCTTTTATTACAGAGTCGCAGGCAGCGCACAGAAACATGTGATCATTCATATTCTGACAGTAAGACTGCTATCGATCAGGCTACTGCACGGCCCCATGACTTCACTGATCCAACAGTGCAAAGAAAACTCAACGAGCTACATTCAAAACCCACAGCAGCAGGCCAAGACGCAGAGAAAATAGATTTGGACTCTTTAGTGCTAGCACAACACTTCATACTGAACTCAAATGAGAGGAAGCTATGTAGAATAAAGATTACAAACATATTCATTCTATTTACTGCAAATGATCTGACAATGCAAAGTGTTTAAGGTTGTATGAATATCTATGGATGCTATGGAAAAAATTTACTCACAATTCACTTTTTTTCTTACAATTCTGAGAAAAAAAAGTTATGACATACGAACTCAAAATTGTGAGATATAAACTCAGAATTATTGTTTTTTTCTTACAATTCAGAGCTACATTTCCCAATTCTGGGTTTATATCTTGCAAATCTGTTTTTTTTTCCTCCAAGTTGTGGGTTTGTCTTGCAATTTCTCTGAATTCTGATTTTATATCACAAAAAAAAGTATGAATTGTGATATAAACTCAAAAATGCAACTCAAAAGTCTGAACTGTGAGAAGAAAAGTCGCAATTACCTTTTTTAAAAAATATTATTATTATTTTTTATTTTTTTTACCTGTGGTG